CCTGCGGTGTCTGGGGGGTTAAGTTCAAACGTGAAGCATCACACGACGCATAACGCAGAAATGTCATTTAGTATTCTTTTTGAAAGGCTAAAGTCGATAAAATATGTGAAAATACCGCTGGTCAAGCGGACCACACAAGTGGTGAGTCCGAAGAGACCGGAACGCTGTCTGGGGACTTTATGTAAAACTTGTGGCATATAACGATTCAAAACGTTGCATTTTTCATGAATAACCGTATAATAACGGCAAAACTATATTTAATTTCGGTTTCGTCGCGATTATCACTCGGCCTACCAGACACCGAGCGGCAGCAGAAACGTCTTCGAAAGGGAAGACCGAAGAAAACGGAGAACGGGTGCATTTTCATGGATTGAATCGGGCAGTAACACCTCAAAACGATCAGAAAATAATGCTTAATCTATTGGTTATGTTTATTTTGCTTGTTAAAAAAAATTTAAAAATATAAGGTCCGCCGAATTTGCGACCAGTCATCGTGGCTAGCAACTGCTCGCTAGCTCCCACAGGCTGCTCGACAGCGGTGACCACACATCACTTTTATAATTCATTGACTTTTTGTCTCCAACTTCACAAACTACAAACTGTTGAGTTTTTTGAATCAACCTTTTCTACTTTCATGTTTACTTTTCCTTTTCTGATTGAACTCTTTGAATGGCATTTGTCTTCTCGAAATTCTTCACTTGTCGTGGACCGCCGACCAATCGACGGCGGTGTCTCGAGGGCCTAGACGCGGCTTACCAACGAACGAATATCTTGAGCATCACCTTGACCTGTTAGCAAACAAAACTTAATCATTATTCTGGAATTATGCGTCGGTGAAGGCCCACCAAAAGCCCAGTACGTTGCAGCCAATTCTCCTCGTTGTGCTCCGCTTGTAGGTCCGACCGCTCGCCTTTGGTTTTCTCATTCAAGCCTGCATCGTATCTTGTGTCTTAGTTCTACAACTGAAGCGACAGACACCACGAACACTTCCTCGGTCCCAATGGAATTCAATTCAGCTTTAAAAAAAGGTAACCAAGCCGACTTCAAAAAGTGGATTCAAGAATAGGTGTGTCTGATGAAAGCCGTCAAGCTCCACTACACCGTACGTTCTACCCAACTCAGTATTTATATATGTATATATTTCTATATACATAAACGTCTATGTGTGCGTTCTAGAACTCCGAATATGATTCATTTGCATATGTTTTTTGCTTTGTTTTAGCAGGCTCTTTACTTGATCGCCCGAAGGTGACGGAAGAGAGGAGAGGAGAGAATGCCTCAGTTTTGGTGAACTCTGATGTGAACACCACCGCTTCTGCTGCTCCCTCAGTATCGACTGAGGAAGCTGCAGCAAATGCAACAGAAATTGTTGCTGCGAAGAAGAAGAAGAAAAAGGAAGACGAAGCCCTTCGGGCTTTCGTAGCCAAAGCGGTGGAGAAACGGAGCCAAACGTCTGAAAAGAGGAGAGAACGAAAAGCGAAAAAGGTATTGCAGACAGAAGCAGCAGATACAGCAACACAGCTGATACACCGGAAACAAGCCCATCCCAAGAGACAGATCAATTCAGACAAAATGTGGTG